GCCCAAAATATTAGTAGTGCTGAAGTTGAGAAACCATGATCTAGACTATTCTGCCAGACTTATAATCTGCTCTGTACTCCACTGCCAAGCCAGTATTCCTAAACCACCAAATTTATCTAAACCTTCCTCCTAAGCTTCAGTAGCTCCATTAGCTCCTCATCGCCTGAAAGTTCAGATCTTTCCTTCTCGCCCTGGCATTTAAATCCCTCTTGCCCACTTATGTGTTCCTTCCCCAGCAGGAGCTCTACTCCTCACAAGCTTTCATCTTCACCAGCCTCCACGCTGTCATCCTTTTACCGATGTTATCCCTCCCTCACGCATGTACCTTGCGAGGATCCTCCCCACGTCTCTTCTCTGATCCAAACCTTACTCATTCTTTGAAGCCCACACATGCTGCATGTCACTCTGCCAATGAGTCGGTCTCTTTTTGTAGCACTCCCTTCTGGACTTCTCATGGGCTCACACGTCTTACACTGTCATATAGCTCTTCCCTCCATCTTCTTTCCTCAGTGAACTCGCTGAAGGGCGCCATATTGTATTTCCGGCCTTTCAGTCTCAGTTTGCACAGCATAAGGTGTGAAAACTATATTGTTGTATTGAGAGATTTTTGTATTGAGAGTCAAATGAGACGAGTATAAAGAGCACCTTGTACAGGTCCTGGTACCTAGTTAAGTGCTCAGAAAATTATGGTATCATAGTATCTATAGATTACAATCGGGAGCCCTCAGAATGTGCTTAATAAATCTTTTAATAGTAGTTACATACTGGAGAGAGCATGCACTCAGACTAGCCTGGTCTTTGGAACTAACAGCAGAGAAAAACTTGCATCAGAAATTCTACACCAATTAACACGCCTTCATGCTAGAGCGAATCCAGGAGCAGTGGGTGTCACATTTTCTCCAAGTGGTGCCTAAGCCAACCTTTCTGCCTTTAACAAGTTAATGAATAGCTTATGAGTAACACTTTGCCCACTCTGGCCCAATTTAGAAGGCTGCCGATAGGATGGGTTGTCAGTACGGCACCCTCGGCTTTGCTGGGGTCCCAGCCGCATCCTCCCTAAGTGATTCTGCTCTCAGCAGCTGGAGGCTCCAATATCACTAAAGAAGTGGGCACCAGCGTGATGAGGCTGCAGAGAGGTCCTGGCCCTTCCCCAAGTGGAAGAGAGGCTTGTCTCAGATCCTGTGAGAGAAGGGAGTGGGGCCTGGTATTCCGAGCAGCCCAGGTTTGGCTTTGGGCCAGGCACTGAGTGGCAAACAAGAAGAAACACATTCCGGGAAGGCAAGGAGCCCTGCCAACGCAAAGGCGGCCCGGCAAGCTGGGCCTGCTGGGCGCCAGGTGCTCCTTGGCTCTGTGGAGGTCAGGCACACGGGGAAATGCACTCGGGTTTCTCTGGATTATCATTTCAGAGGCTTATACAGCTCCCTCCCTCTCACTTTCGGTGGACAAAGCAGCATTAAACCTCTAAACCTCTGTCCTCTGGGGTCTAGCCCCTCATCTCTGAATAAAGGTAGGAGAGGAAGCAGTGTTGTGGCCTCCTAAGATCACACTTCGCTGGAGCCGGGTGTCTGTAATTCTGTGCCCTGAGTAAGAGAAGGTGCTATCTACAGCAAGGGCAGGTCAAGGGGAAAACTGGGATTTTTATGCTCTTGTTGGAAGAAAAGCTGATCTCACCACCCTCCTCCTCCTGCACCCACCCCCACACATAAACAAAACATGCTGGTTCTTCACACCTGCCAGTTCTGCCTCCTTAGTGGCCTGACCTTCAGGTCCGAAGAGCCCTCGGGATGGTGTTTCATTCTGCTTGCCACCAACCGCGCCCCCCACCATGAAAGAAGAGGGAAAGGAAAAGGGAAAGAACGGAAGGAAACCATGGAGAAATGGCCACGGGAGCTTGCCAGAATTTCCCTTCTGCTGCTGGATAGGCAATGCACTGGACTTGGACTAGGCCTGGCTTGTTTTCACCCCACAAGTGGGCAGCAGGGGCCCTTCTTTGACCAAGGGGAATGAAGTCTGTTCCTCTCTGCGGCTCGAGCTACTGCTGGACTTTGCTGCCACCTAGTGGCCAGATGGCATCTCTTCCCCCTCAAAGAGACCAGCCTGGAGATCTGGCTTCAGTCCCCGCCTAAGGCAAACTCAAGAGCCTTCTCTGCAAAGCTTCTCTACCCTAGGAAGTCCTGCTTCTGCAGCCCAGCAAGAGGAGCAGCCTAGGTTCATGACCTCACCCAGCTCAACAGGCGTCCCAATGCCATGGCCACCAGGTAGGAGGGCCAAGGCTGGCTGGCTGGGGGCCAGGGATGGCAGCAGTCTTTTACTCACAGGGCCCCCTGTGGGGTACGGTTCTGCCACAGCTCCCCTCATTTCTGAATGCCCTTTTCAGCAGAGCTCCTGCTCCTCTCAGGATTCTGCCTTGTCTGGCTACACCCATGTTGTTAAACCCAGGCTCCTGCAACGTATATATCTATATATCTGTATATCTGTATCTATATATCTCCAATTTCTTCAAATTTAAGGCAGTTTCTTCCTTATGAAGTTAGCTCATTTCAACTTTAAATTTATAAAGATTATATGCCCTCTCTGTGATGCTGCTGCTATAAGCCAGTCCCTGAGAATAATGGAAAGGGGGTATAGTCTGTAGATCATCCGCCATATTTTCCTGCATGTTACATTCACCTGTATACTTCCTCTAGCAAAAGAAAGCATTTGGTTTCAGCAACCACTGATCTTACAGACCAAACTTTCAGATCTGAGCAGCAGTACCCAAGGAATTATATAAAATCCAAACTCCCTTTTCCTGCCTACCTCTCCAGCCTCTTTGTCTCTTTGTGTGTGTGTATGTGTTAAAATACACATAAAATTTACCATCATCATTTTTAAGTGTATAGTCCCATAGTGTCAAGTATATTCCCATTGTTCCGCAACCATCATCACTGTCTCCAGACTGTCTTGTAAAACTGAAACTCCATGCCCATTAAACAATAACTCTCACTTCCCTTCCCCCAGCCTCTGGCAACCACCATTCTGCTTTCTGTCTCTATGAATGCAACCATTCTAGGGACCTCATGTAAGTGGACTCATACTGTGTTTGTCTTTTTTTTTTTCTCCTAAAGATTTATTTAGTTATTTGAGAGAGAGAGCAGGAAGAGGACAGAGAGAGAGGGAGAAGCAGACTCCCTGCTAAGACAAAGCCCAATGAGGGGCTCGATCCCATGAGATCATGACCTGAGCTGAAACCAAAGAGTCAGTGGCTCAGCTGACTGAGCCACCCAGGCGCCCCCGTGTTTGGTTTTTTGTGGCTGGCTCATTTCACTTGGCAAAATGTCCTTTAAGTTCATCCATGTTACAGCATGTGTCAGAATTTTCCTCCTTTTTAAGGATGAATAACATTCCATGGTATGCATATACCACACTTTGTTTATCCGTTTTTTGGTTACTAGACACCTGACCTCGGTTGCTTCCACCTTTTGGCTATTTGAGGAATGCTGCTCTGAACATGGGTGTGCAGAGAGAGAACTCTTCAAAACCTGGCTTTCAGCTCTTTTTTTTTTTTTAAGATTTTTTATTTATTCATTTGAAAGAGATCACAAGTAGGCAGAGAGGCAGGCAGAGAGAGAGGAAGGGAAGCAGGCTCCCTGCTGAGCAGAGAGCCTGATGCGGGGCTCGATCCCAGGACCCTGGGATCATGACCTGAGCCGAAGGCAGAGGCTTAACCCACTGAGCCACCCAGGCACCCCGGCTTTCAGCTCTTTTGAGAAGACAGCCAGAAGTGGTAGTACTGGACCATATGACAATTGCCTTTAGTTTTTTGAAAACCTGCTGTACCGTTTTGCACAGTGGCAGCGCCATTTTACCTTCCTACCTGCAGTGCATAAGGGCTCCATTTTCCCCACATCCTCACCAACACTTGTGTTCTGCTGGAGAGTAGCCGTCCTAATGCGTGTGAAGTGGTGCCTGACTGTGGTTCTGAATTCCCTAAGGACTAGTGGTGTTGAGCATCTTTTCATGTGCCCGTTGGCCATTTGTGTCTCTTCTTCAGAGAAACGTCCTTTTGGGTTCCTTACACACTTTTTAATTGGTTTTGTCTGTTGTTGGTGTTGACCTCTCCAACGTCTTTCCACATCACTCTCCCACCTGATCAGTTTCCTCAAGTCCTGCTGAGTCTCTCTGTGCAGAAGAGACAAATGCATTCTCTCCTAGGTTTTGCAGTTACTGATCCATTGGCCATGAAATGCCAATGAATGGAACCAAAGAATGGACCCATGGCTGGGTCCTCATACCTTAACACCAATCTCAGTGTCACTTCAAAGAGCCTTTCCTGCCCATCCACCTACAGCCAACTCCCCATTTACTCTCATATCACCATTTCTGCATTTCCCTTGTTGTTTACATGTTTACTCAGAACTTAGTTTACATGGAGCAAAAGTGCTGTGGGGACACAGAGACAGCCTGACATGCTCACTGCTCTATCCCCAGTGCCTGGCATAGTACCTGGCTTGTGGTCTAGGCTCAGTATTTGCTGAATGAATGAATCACTACTAGAAGGGGCATCCTAGGGAAAAAGAAAGGTAATGTGGCCCAAATTGGAACTTAACCTCCCCAATCTAGGCTCGATGTCATACAAAGGACACAGGGATTTTATACAAAAGGACACAGGGATTTTCTGGCTTGGGGTTCAGGGTTCCAGACTTGAATTCCTGAGTCAGAAACACAGTACCATTTGAATAGGGACATCACTTTGGAGCTGCCCAAGAGAAATAGGGAAGCCTTCTCGGTGTCCACCCAGCAGAGGCAGAAGGCCACAGAGGTTTACCGTGGCCGCTCTTCCCCTTCCCAATACACCAGAAGCGTGAGGCAGCTTGGCTACAGCCTCGTGAGATTTGCAGAGCACCTGAGATGCTGGGGCTGACTTGGGCTCCATCAGTCTCCTTCGTGCCAAGTTATGTCAGCATGAGTACCTTCCGTGTGTCGTCAAAAGATAAAAATGAACTTTCCATACCACAGGACACTAGAAAAATCAAATGTTTGTATTTGAAAATATTTTCAATGGCTAATGCCATGCTGGAACAACCCAAGGATAGTTGAACCAATCTCTCGGGGAATCAGAGGAATGTCAGCCTCCACAAGCAGGTCTGTATAGTTTACAAACGCGCATGGGAGAAAGGACACTGGCCCCAGAGGACCAGGCTGAGGAAGAAAAGGGAGAAACGGACAGAGGGCCCTCCAGAGCGACAGGCACACTCCTACCACTGAAACCCCTGGACCCAAGAGGACCTCCAGAGCCGCCTACCCTGCAGCATGGCTCTTGCCCTTTCTGAGCCTGGGGCGTGGCCAGAGACCAGACTCACCAGCATGCGCGCACAGCTGCCCACGACGTGGCACCTCTGGTGGCCTCTCGTGAGCCTGGGGCTCAAGCTAGCAGGGCTCAGAGAATGGACCGATTCTCCCCGCCCTCCGGCAAGGACCAAGGCGGGGAGACACTGGGGCAAGTAGGGTTATTTCCCTGAAAACATGATATAAAGTGATAAACGGGGCTCGTTCCAATAAAAGGGTGGGTTTTTCTCCAGAGTGGTGCTGTGGGGAGAAAGGAATGTGAGTTGACCTGCCACCTACAGCTGTGCTACAAACCACCCCCCCAGGCAGGCTCTAAGCTTAATCCTAGAACCCGCAGCGGCGGGAGGATAGAGAGACCACTAGTCTGCACTTAGGGACCTGTCCCCTACAGACACCGTCCCTCACATCCTCATTTGGGTTTATCGTAAGCAAGATAGTCACAGTTCCACGATAACTAAATTCCCCTTGGGAATTTCTCCCTGATTAACCTCTCAGGTGTTTGAAGAAGGAAAAGCAGTGGCTGTTTCTGACACACTCACCCCAACACCAGCGACTTTGCCTGATACTTCTGACCTCCTCATTAAGGCCCTTCTGGAACCCCTAAAGGCACTGTTTTAGCATATTGGAGTCCCAGGGAGAGAAGGCAGAGTTCTGAGGCACAGCAGAGCTGTTTAGAACAGAGGAGGCCTTGGCAGAGATGGAGGACTCTCTAAGGCAAAGCTACCACTGTGTCCACTCTTCCCATCCCCTACCTCTCTTGTCCCCAGAGGTATCAGAGAGAACCCCTTGACCTGGTCCCTGCACTGTACCAGACCCACCTTGGACACCCCCACCTATTCAGGGAGGGCAGGACCTTCCCCCATAGCCTGCAACTCACTGATTACAGGTGACATGAGGGAGCTCTGTGACAGCCCGACACCATCGTGCCCAGGTGCCCAGCCACGCTTCCCCGACAGGCTGCTGTTGGTCATGGCCCCTCAGGCAGTCAGGCAGGGAGTACAAAGCTCAAATCAAAGTCCCTGACCTTCTCCTCCCCTCATACCCAGTGGGGGTCACTCCCCATCGTCTACTTCCCACCTGGGACACCTCAGACTGTTGGAACACACAAGGGAAGACGAAGTACCAGGTCTGTGACCACAGTGATCAAGGCCTGTTCCACCTGTCTCACTAGGAAGTGGCAGCGAAGGACCCAGAATGCTGGACCTCTGCCCTCCTTCACAGCCCCTGCCACCATCCTCTGCTGCAAATACTGTCCTCCGGATTCAGCCAATCCTCCTCATGAGGGCCCAGAACAGAGCCTCAGCACAGGGCGTGAATATTCCCCTCTGGCTGGAATCCTAACTACACACCCTCCTCTTCTCCTTCATAGCTTCCCCCTCACTTTCCCAGGCTGCCCTTCGCCTCAGGGGCGGAAGCGAGAGCATGGTATGTTGGGAGAGAGCAGAGCCCCGCTGGTGGTTTGGGTTTGGGCCTCTGTCCCACTCCTGCAGTGAGCCGCATGACCGGGCACAGCTGCATTCCAGGTACCAAAATTTGGCCTTTTGTCCCCTGGGTGTCTCCTAGTGCTCTTGCCTCTGTGCCAGACTGTTTCCGAGGAACAAGTTCATTTTCTTTTTCCAAGTGCTTGCTGAAGCTTAGTATACAGAATTTCTCGGCCGGTTCCAAGAATCTGGCTTTGTGTCTGAGTCCCCAGATTGTAGGAGCTTGGTCAACAGGAGGGCTAAGAGCTGGGGGAGGAGGAAGGATCTGGAGTATTCTCCTTCCTACTCAGTCTCAGCACAGCAGCATCAACCATAGGAGTCACTGGTGGAACCTTAACACCCAGAGCGTTCTTCTTGGAGAAGCCGGGGTGGCCGTTACCTGCACATGAGAGATTCCCAGATCAGAGAAGGGGCTTACAAGGCAGACAGACAGGTCAGTAGAGCCTTTCTCTGCCTCCCCTCGCCACCCCCCCGCCCCGCCACCAAGAGCTGGTCAAGCTGGTCCGGGTGGGATCTGTGTACCCTGCATGCTCTGTCCAACCTTGCTTGGCAGATTGAGCTGTCAAGCCAGCTCAAGGGCAAGGCCAAGTCCAGCCAGGACGACACGCAGCCTGGCCGTAGGTATTGGCTCCTGTCCTTTACCTTCAGTCCCTGAGGCATTGGGAAGAGACAGGACATCACCTGTGCCCAGGGACCGGGCCGTCCCAATTCAGGGAGCATAACTGCTGTTCCAGCCGGGAGATGCGGAATGCCAGATAGGATGAGGACATGACCAAGAAGCAGATCCTGGAGAAAGAGAGATAAGGATATCTTACCTGGAAAAAGGACATTTTTAGAGACTCACCAAAAACAGGAATGGGAACAAAGCTACTTCCCACAACTGGAAGAATTAAAGAACTCTTTGCCTCTCAGCTACGTTCAGGCCTGGACATCTTTGTGTCTAGGGGCCATGTGGGGGTCCTGAGACTCATCCCCATGGAGGTGTCCTCAAAGCCCAGCAGGAATTCTGGGTCCTTAAACTGAGCCCACCTTCCCTCTGACCAGCCACCTTGGTCCTGTGCCTCCTCTTCAAGGCTACCAAGATTATCCCCTAAGGTGGTAGGCCCACTCTCCCAGCAAATGCTGAGGCTGACCATTGGAACTCAGCCAGCAGAAGCAGAGGAAGGTCACGAGGTAAGATGAGGGGACACCAGGAGCTGGCTGTTCACTAAACGCCCCACTGTGCTCACCCCTCTGCTGGTCCTTAGGCAGAATTACAGACAAGTCTGGGGTTCCAGAAACTGCTCTAAAGGTGGGTGGCAGGAAGGCTATGGCTCTCCCCTAGTCTATCCGATGGCCCTCTCCAATTTTGTTAGTTTTCCCCCTCCCCAGTCCTGTGCACGTTTTCCTTTTTTCAACACCTTCTTATCCTGCCCCTCCGTACTGCACAGCCTTACCCCTAAATTACAGGGGTGCATGAATAAAGACGGGAGACACTTAGTCTTGCTGCAGACGGTGACCTCCCCACACACAGAGGCCCCTGCTCCAAACAGCCAGCCACCCAGGTGAGTTTAACCACCCCCATCCCCAATGCAGTCACCTACAGCACAAAGATGACCTTGAGGAGCTGGTAATCCCAGAGCCTCAGCTTCTGGTCGCTCCTGGGCTCCTCCTCCAGCTTCTCCTCCTCACAGACGTCATTCTCTGTGATAGGAGAGCAATTAGGCAGCTTTGTGGGGCAGGAGGCAGGAGCCCAGCCCAGCAAGCCCACCTCCCCCCACTCTCTGAAGCTGTTCAGGCTTGTGGCTTGGCTTTCCCTTATGGATTTGGATTAAGTAAGAAACAGCTCTCAGAAGCCTTGCTGGCTGTGATTTTTCCTCTTTGCAGTAGTAGGGGCAGGGAAAGCCTGGTCTGTGTAAGCAGTTGTCATAGACAAGCACGCTGAGCTCACCAGACCCAGGAGGCTTCCTGGGAAAGAAGCTGTCCGTGGAGTCCATGGATGCCCGAGGGATACAAGGGATGTTGTCTGGGAGGGATAGGGACCTGGAGGCAGGGCACACTTTTCTCCACTTCATCTCAGGGATGAGGACTTCCTGCAGAGAAGGCAGATGAAACTCTCTATGACCCTTGGGATGTCACGTGTCCTAAGGGGCCCACACTAGGTTTATCAAAAATTTTCCAGATATTGGGGCACCTGGGTGGCTCAGGGTCCTGGGATCGAGCCCCACATTGGGCTCTCTGCTCAGCGGCGAGCCTGCTTCCCCACCCCCCTCTGCCTGCCTCTCTGCCTACTTGTGATCTCTGTCAAATAAATAAAAATAAAATCTTAAAAAAATTTTTTCCCCAGATATTACCAATTTGGATACCTAGTGAGCGTGAAGGCAGGTACCCAGAAGGAGGGAAACCATTGCCATAGCAACCTCTTGTCTCTCTTATCAGTTCCCTTGCTGGGACCAGCCATTCTTCCAGGGAACAATGTCTTTGAAGACTGCTGGTATAGAATGACAGCGGGATCTAAGACGTGAGCTAACCCAGGTATGTGCTCAGATCTGTGGAGCCCAAGAAAGCTTGGCACAATGTATCTTAAATGGGATAAGTCCTCCTAATCTGGACTCAAACCCTAAGTACATCACTGACCTTAGCAGGAGTACCTAGGGTCCCCATCAACAAAAATGGGAACAGCACCTTCTATCGCCATCATAGTATTGTGCATACTATATGCTTGGCTAAATGCTTAATGGTTAGTGAAGAAGACTTCAAACACCCTGGGGTCATTTCCATCTCCATCACTGTTGTAGAAACTCAGCGCTGCCTACCCAGAACTGGGACCTCAGTTGGGATTGCTGGGACCTCGGCAAATCTCAAATGAGTCTGAGTTCTCCAGTGATAGCCTTTGGAGTTCTTCCCTGAGGACCTCTCTATCCCCTGGAAGGCCCTCCTGTCCCTGCTAAACAAAAGAGGATAGGTCACCGGCTCTGTGCTGTCCGGCTGTGGGCTCTGCCATGCGCAGTGTTCTGGGAGCTGGGCATCTCTTCAGCTCAGGTAGTCAGCAGATCTGCCCAGAACCTAGTGGCTGCTCATGGCGTGGAGTGCGTCAGGTCTAGGGAACCCCCTGGCATAGCACGGCCACTGGCTCTTGAGCCTGGAGCCCCAGTTCTGCATTGTGGGCCGCTGCCCAGGAGGCCCTGAAGCCTCAGAGCCATAGACCCCCTCATGCCAGCAGCTTTTGCTTCCAACCTCAGGTCTCACCAGGGACTCGCACTCAGGTTCCTCTGGAAATTCTCTTACACTCAGGCTCTTCTTGCTGGAAGGCTAAGGAAGAAAGGGAGCTGGGGTCACTTTTCCATCAGGAATAGCCATGGTCAGGAGTGAGGAGGTGTTAGCACTCTCCAAGAGAGCTTTACCTCCAAATAAGCCACCTTGGGTTGGACGAAACCTAGCTCCCAGAGCTTGCAGAAGTCCCCGAGTTAATGCTGGAGCAGAGGGCAAATCTAAGGAAACATACTTTCCCATGCTGCTGCCCCTCCCCACTTCCTCACCACAGGCCAAAGAGAGCTGCCGGCCTACTAGGAAGCAGCCACGTGCTTCTGTTCGCACGCTGCAGGAGCACAATGAGGGAGTACACATGGGGACACACAGCGGCCGCTGGCCTCCAAGAGACATGCTCATAATCATAGAGACCCAGTCCAACAACAAGCTCAGATACACTAGGCCTGAGCCCGTTACTCGCCTCTCCCTGTCCTTGGCGCCTGTGCTGGAGAGACGGGCCAACCACCCCTAACAGCCTTGTCCCCAGACCTCAGTCTAGGCCTGAGCAGCCTCCCTGGCCCAACTCCTGCCCCAGAACTCCATACCTGGAGGTGTGTGCAGACCCTTCTCAGCATGTCATATACACTGTCCCGGGAAAGCAGTGACACAAAGACGTACTGGGACAGAGAAAGAAAACATAAAAGGGTGGGGTAAGAACAGACCGGAGAAAGTGCCAGAGTCAGGATCCTGGGGATGGGACAGGAGACTAACCAGGGATGGCTGGCCCAGGGATTCACTGACCTTCTGGCTGGTGTTGGTGGTGATAGCCAGGCCATTAGGAAGAAGCCGCGCCATCTTGTGTTTTTTGATCATTTGGACAGACACCACGGGAATGACCACCTGAGAGAGGAGAGGCATGCTTCTCTCAGGACTCACCCCCAAGGACATGGTCCCTTTGCTTCCTGCACAGAGCCCCAGCCAAGCATGGACACCATGGAGAAGCCTTGCCTTATGTGGGAGAACATGTGAGCCTTCCACTCTCTGACGCAGGCTCCCCTTCCAGTGGTCCCGCCACCCGGCACCAGCCTTGGCAGCACACACCGCTTGGGGCTCTCACCCTATTATCCAGGATGGATAATCCAAGGATGGTGGCGCTGGTGAACGCCATACTCCGTAATGGAGTTCCCTGACCTACCACCTGGCCACAGTTATGGCTCCCCAAAGTGTGACATCCCGCTCTGATCCTGAAGGCATTGCAGGGGCACCCATAGACCAGATGAATTGGCTGTGAACTGTTCTAGGCTCTGTGGAGTCTAGACTGGGGCCCTGCATTGGAAGGCGTCCAGGTGGGGGGGCCTCACAGTGAGGGGCTTCAGCAGGTGCCCACTGGTTAGGGGACCTGTCTCTTCCCAGCTGGGGCCTCACAGGCCCATTTTTACTACCTTTATATCCTTGCCAAAGAGGCTGGCATGGAAGCAGAGCCAGTTGGGGGAGATGTAGAGCCGGCCCTGGAGAAGAAGATCTCTCTGGAGGGCGCAGGAACACACTGGAAAGTCGCAGGAAAGAAGATTGCCATGAGCAAACCAACCCCGAAGGCCCGGGGCCTGCGTCCTCACACTCGGGAGTCCAGAGCCCAGCGTCAGGGACTGCCTGCCTCAGAATCCCCCTTCCCGACCCCAGGCCCCAAACTACCCATTCCACCAGCACCTGGAGTCCTTCTCCAGAGTCCTGACTGTCCCACCCGAGCCCATCAAACTACTAGAGCTTTCCTCCTCCTCCACTCCTGCTTCAAAGGGTTCCTTAAGCCTGGATTGTCGCTCCCTCAGGCAGAACTCCTTGCCCTGCCTGGAGAGAGGGCCAAAGGATAGGCAGAGGAGTAGACCCGAGGTTAGGTGAGTGGGAGACCTGGAGATTGTTCTGCAAATGCTCCCGCATGCTTACTGAGAGGTCTGAGCGGGAAAGAACAGCCATTGCTAAGAGCAGAACAGAAATAAAATTTGGAAGCCCTGACATGGCCTCAAGAAAACTTTCATAGATTCCATTTCATATCCCTGATCTGCCCACTCTTCTCAGACTTTTGAAGAAAGCGGGCCCAACCACATCCAAAGGGCAGCCAGTTCCCATATCACAATTGTGCCTTGGAGGCTCTGGAGGAGAGGACCTGGGCCTCAGGCCCTCTAGGCACCTGTCCAGCCACACCTAGGAGATAGCTCACCTTTGAGAACCACCTCCTCCAAGGGGATGTCCTTAAACAGCTTGTGGTATTGTTGGTTGTATTTACTCAGTAGTGTCTGCAAACATACAAGCTGGGGCTGAGAAGTCCTGAGGAGATCAGCCACCAAGGGGGCCCTGCACCAGCTACCAGGAAATAATGCCATGGGTGGGGGATGGGCAGGGGCCCTGGGGAGTTAGCACAAAGCAGTCAGTAAAGAGCCAGCAGGGCTGAAAGGCTGAGTTCCAAGCACAGCTTGTCTCTCGGCGACATGGCAACAGAAGGTCCTGCTGGGCAGCCTATGACCTGAGGGTGACGCACCACCGCCACCCGGGAGGGGACACTCACTCAGGTTTCCCTTGGCGACAGGCCGCGGCGGCCAAGGAGCCAACAGCCCCGATTCCGGCAGCCCAGAACCCCTCCCTCGGTGGGCAGTGAAGAGGCGGCCTCCACACACTTACCCCTTCTCGGCCACACTTCTTTATCTCTTCACCCTTCAAGCCCTCTGGCCAGTGCAGACTGCAAAGGAGACATTCCATTCCAGGGACAGGGAACCCTCGAGTCCTGCCCATACATCCGCGGTGCCAGGTCTGCCCTGGCTTCAGGCCAGAAGCTTGGGCGAGAGGCTGAAGACTGAGGCCTTTCTCTGGGAGCCACAGCAAGATGACAGGCGACAGGGAGTGCGGAGCTCAGCCCTGGGGAAGGGCACTCCTGCTTCCAGCTCCCAGAGATGCTTAGTGGCTGCCCACCCATGGGTATCAAAAACCCTCTCCCTCTTCTCTGGCCAAAGGATAGGCAGAGGAGTAGACCCGAGGTTAGGTGAGTGGGAGACCAGGGATGGGGACCAGTTTGGGGAGCGGGTGAGGTGGAGATGTCAGACTCACGGCTCCGGGGCCTGGCCGTGGGCCATGATCCCGGCAGGATGGCCCTCCTTGCAGCCTTCTCCCTGCAGCCTGGAGCTCAGCAGACTCACCTGACCCTACCAAGGCTGAGGGAGAGGGGGTGGTGCTGGAACGGCCAGGTTGGCCTGAGGACAGGTGGGCAGGGAGGAGGCTGGAAACCTGAGAAGCCTAGACTCTGCTGGGTCCCCAGTGCTGGGACAGGCCCCGGCCGGGAGGAAGAGGCAAGGGGCAGACTATGCCCAGCCTTACACCTGATGTAAGGGTCCCCTTTCTGCCCCTTCTTTAACCCCTTTGCCCCCTTCTTTTATTTAAGTCGTTATTTAAATGCCAGCTAGTTAACATACAGTGCAATATCGTTTCAGGCGTACAATATAGTGATTCAACACTTCCATACGTCACCCTCATCACCAGTGCCCTCCTTCATCCCCACCACCTGCGTCACCCAACCCCCCATCCACCTCCCCGCTGGTGACCATCCGCATGTTCTCTGGAGTTCAGAGTCTGTTTCTTGGTTCATCCCTCTCTCCTTTTCTCCAGTTTGCTTGTTTGACTTGTTTCTTAAATTTAACCTATGAGTGAAGTCATACGGTATCTGTCTTTCTCGGACTTAATTTCACTTAGCTTAATACTCACTAGCTCCAACCAGGTCATTGCAAATGGCAAGATGTCGCTCTTTTTTATTTGCCCCTTTAAGGTCCTCCTGAGGGCTTCCCACCCCCAATCCATAGGCCTATCTGACTGGGAGGGGCCTCACCTGGAGTCCAAGGGTGCCTGAACCCTGGCTAGTTTCTCTGAGCAGGACACAGGGCTCTTCAGAGAAGCCGTCTTTCCATGCATCTGTTGGTCGCTGAGCAGAAACAGGCCCACATCAGGAAGAGCGGCTCTGGGGGAACACCTTTCCCTACCAGCTTCCCCAGGCCCAGGCCAGCTCCTCTCCCCACACCCCAGACCAGCTCTGCTATTCAGGCTGAGGCTGAAAACGTCACCACCCAGAGGCTGCAAGTCAGGCAGGAGTTCTCTGGTTCCAGACAGAGGAGGCAATCTCATGCCGTCTTTTCTGGAAGCCTGCAGGTCAGTCTATGCCCAGACCGGAAGGGAAATCAGCCTACCTTAGTCGGGCACCAAGCAGGTAGGCCCGCCCCACACTTGAGAAAGCACAGTGGGAAGGAGGACTCAAAGACTTGCTCCCGGCTGACAGTGTAAGATTCTGAGGTGCCTGAGCAGCATTCCCATAAGCCATCGGGATCTGGGAAAGGATGCTGAGCACAGGAGGCTGAAGCAGAGCTGAGGAGCTGGGGCACGGATAGCAGGGATGGGGGGGCGTTGGGGGCTCCAGTCAACCCATAGGTAACTATGGGCTCGGAGGGGTGGGGTGGCGCTGCACCAGGAGATGGCCTGGTGGCCTTCGGACAGTCAGGGTACCTTGGCCTCACAGCCAAACCATCTCAAAAACGTCCCAGGGAGAGGGCCCTGGAGGGAGGAGACGCCATCCCCCTGGGCAGGTGGGGCTCCCAGTGGCTTTTGAGTTCATGCCTCCCCTAAACAGCTCCAAAGCATAGGGAACCCCCTTCCTGCCCCTGTCAGGGAAGGCACAGGCTCAGAATCGATAAAGCCTGAGGAGTCCAACCAACCCGCAAAAGTGTGGGCCCAGAAGCTGACAGGAAGAGAGGCTGGCCAAGAAGCAGGGCCAGGGCCGGGCACCACAGGGGTCACAAACAGTCTACAAGGTCCTGGGCTGATGAGGAGCTGGAAACTGAGGCCTGCAAACACCTGCCCGAAGTCCCTCTCAGCTCTGTCACCGGGGCAAGTCAAAGATGTCTTCTTTGAGAACAGAGTGGCCCACTCAGCCGAGATCTGCCAAGATCCTCAGAGATGATTTAGTCGGACCCCTACCACGCTGCTACGCAGTAGGAAACTGAGTCCCACCGAGGGAGCAGCTGGACCCAGTATCACACGGTGAAGAGCCAGGTGACCTCATGCCACAAAATCAGCCCATCCGCAGCCCAGTGGCCCCGTGACCTCTGCCCTTGCCTTTATGGAGAATTTCGGTGCACCCATCAACATAGGTTTCCTGAATCTTGCAAAGTGACAAGTTTTGCTAGTGATTTTGACCCTTTTGACCCCCAAAGGTAATTTCTAGATTTGTTTAGTTCCATCATTCGCATTTTAAGCAGATTTTCCCTTCTCCTCTTGATTTCTACTATGCTCACAATAGAAAATATGAAGAGATAAAACCTATAAATATGATGATCAAAATCCCCCAGAAGGAAAAAAATTCTTCAAAACTCATCCAAAGGGACGCATGGGTGGCTCAGTTGGTTAAGCCGCTGCCTTTGGCTCAGGTCATGATCCCAGGGTCCTGGGATCGAGTCCCACATCGGGCTCCTTGCTCGGCAGGGAGCCTGCTTCTCTCTCTCTCTCTCTGCCTGCCTCTCTGTCTGCCTGGGCTCATGCGCTCTCTCTCTCTCTGACAAATAAATAAATAAAATCTTAAAAAAAAACCAACTCATCCAAAGAAAAGGTTTAGGCATAAATATAGAATTTACATGAATGGAATCATGGATTATAATTCACAGGTCTTACTTTGGTTGCTTAACATGATCTCATGAGGAGTTCCCGTGTCCCTGTCCATGGCTGAGACAGATTCTCAGAAGTGTGATTCGTGGGTGGAGAACGCATACTTCTCAGGCCCTTTAGACCCTTGCCCAAAGTGCTTCCAGATGCTCTACTTGCAACCACGGCCATCAGCACTATGTGAAGGCCCGTTCCCGACACACCCAGGCCCAACCCTGGCTATTCTGTTTTTCTCACTTTTGCAAATTTGGTACGTGGAAACATGCTATTTTCGTTTCCATTTCTGCTTACGGAAGGGCTAAGTGAGTTTCCCATGTAGACATATGAACTCCTGGAACCCCACCTGTGAATTGTCTATGAGCATCTCCACATTTGTCTTATTGATTTGCATTAAATGTTTTTTCGAGAACATTAGTCCTTAGTTGATCATGTTTGCAAACATCCCCCCAGTGTGTCATTTGCCTTTTAAGTTTTGTCTGAGGTTTTGTTCCTTTTTTGTGTGGTAGATTCCCTCCATGTCTTCCATCTCTCAGTTCCTCACTTGGCTCCCGTGCTTTGGTGGGAGAAGCACCTCGGGGTGCCCCGAGGCAGAGCGTGTACAAGTCAAACTGCTGAGCCCTTGGAGAGCTCAGACCCTGCAGCCTGTGAGCTTTCCTGGGCCACCAGGAAGGAGAAGGAGATGGGGCCTGCTCAAAGGAACACGCCCTGACCTGGAGGGCCAGGGATAGAGCGAAACCCCAAGCAGGACCTTGGCCATGGTCTCAGAGGCTGGGAGACTGTCACTCGGGCACTGGAAAGGGTGACTGGAGGTGTCAGGGCTGCAGGAGCTCCGAGAGCAGACCGAGAGAGTCAAAGACGGGCTCCCAGAGAAAAGGAAGCCGAACCTTACCGTCTGGGTGGGACCATCGCCCTGTATAAGTTCCCATAATCTAACTTGGTGTTCATAATCATGCCTGCGCAGGGATTCTAAACTGAACTCATCTGTAGGTCCGGTGTGACTTTCTCAGGGAGGGGAGCTGGCCCTCCGCCCTCCCCCAGCCTAGAGAGAAGCCGCCCGTGACAGGCACCCCAATCCGGGCCTCCCTCTCGGCACTTGTCACACCGGGTTGGCACTGGAACTGCTCATCCCCTGGGGCTTCGGCCTGTGGGGACCCTCCTGTCTCCCCCACTGAAGGCCCTGAGCTGGGGGCAATGACAGCGTGTGACAGGCACACATGACACATTGGAGGAATGACTGTGTGGGGACAGGAAGCAAGGCTGGAGGAGGGACAGACCATGAGAAAAACAAAAGGCCGTGTACATTCCCCACAGCATCTCCAGGAAGAGAAAAATGGGGTAAAATGCAGTCACTGGGAGCAAATGACTTTCAAATATCTTTAAACTTAAAAGCAACTCCTTTACGCGTGACGAACAGGATGGTTACAAGCCATTCCGACCTGTCCATCTGTGAAGGCCAGTCTCTCCGGGACGGCCTCATAATGCTCCTGACACAGCCTGCCTGGGGCCCAAATGTACCGCTTTCAAAATGATGGAGTCAGACTTTCTACCAATTAGTCTTCTCCCCTACAGTGTTTAGATGAGTAAAAAATAAAGGCATGAGAGCGAAGTCAGATGCCCAGGTAGGTCTGGGTGAGAGGGGTCACCACAGAACCAGTCAGATGAGGAGCCCCCAAGGATCCACTGAGCCCTGCTGCCGAAGAGACTTCAAGAGCAGGAAGTTGGAGAATGAGGGGACCAGCCTGGGTCCCCCCACCATGCTGGCAGCCACCTTGACATTCCCACACAGGCCTCGTCAAGCCAGTTACTCTGTGTGTTGTGAACGACACCCCCGGGCCATCCAGTCCCACCCCACCTCCACACGTGCTCTGTGGGGTAAGATCAGAATTCCTCAAATCCATGTCTGTTTTTTTAATCAAAGCCACCCCCCCCAATATCATTATGTACATTAAGTAATTAAGTAATGTCCAACACTTTGGACATTAGAGGGGGTAGAAAAAGATGGGGGAGGCCCCGATGGGGCCCTTCCACCCTGCTGAGCTGGGTCCCAGGGCAGGGTGCCTCTCCAGAGGATGGAACAGCTACTTGGCCTGCCCGCAAGCCTTCCTTCTTTCCCTCCACAAATACTCACTGAGCTTATCCCACCAGGAGCCCCAGCGTGGGGCCTGCCACGGGGCTGCTGAAAGGGCAGGGATGGGCACCTAGCAGATTCGGGGAGATGTCAGAAGAGGAGCCAGGCCAGTCAAGAAAGGGGGGGCCACAGAGAGAGCAGGAGAGGGAGAGACAACGAGGAGGGACTCCAAAGGAGCCAGAATCGAGCTACGTCCTGCAGAACTTGTGGACCAGGCTTCACGGGACACCTGCCATGAGCACTCCGGTCTCAAAGCTTCCCCAGGCTCAAGCTACTCCCACCACGTGGGTACTCCCAAACTGAAATCTCTAACCTCGACGCCCTCTCTCCTCCTGAGCTTCAGCCTGCCATTGGGATTCGGCCACCAAGACACGCTTGCTGTCGTCCCCCCAGATCTGCTTCCTTCTGAGCACCTGACATCCCTGAGAGGCTCCTCCTGCCACAGCGGCCCAAGCCAGAATCGGAAGCTGAGTTCTCCCCAACCCCACCACCAATTCAATCCCCTAGTCCCCAGGACACCATCCACTTTCTCCACTCCAACTGCGCCGGCCAGCCTCATCACCACCATCCCTTCCCCCAACTTCGGTGATAAGCTTGCTCTCCTGCCTGGCCCTGTCCTGCTTCTGCCGGCCAGCAGAGCCACCTGGGGCCCAGATCTGACCCCGCCCCTCTGCTGCTGACATTCCTTCTTGAGTTCCCCCTGCCTCCTCAGCAGGCCTTCCTAAGCTTCCTGCATCCCTTCTTAGGCTCCCCCACAAGGCTCCCCTGTGCCCCAGCTTCCTTGCGCCCTCCGCAGCAGTGCATACCCCAAACCCAGAATTCCTCTCCACGCTCATCTGCCTGGGGAATTCCACTCATCTTTTGAGCCCCAGTTCAAATGGCACCTCTTCTGTGAAGCCTTTCCTGGTTTCCCCCAGGGCGGAGCTGGTCAGTCCCTCCTCTGTGGTCCCTTGTGACCTCTATCCTGCTGTCGTTCCAGCACCCACCACACCAGACTGTAAGCACACTCTGTTTACACATCTGTCTGCCCCCACTCCACTCTGAGCTCCCCCAGGGGTGTGTTTCATACATCCTTGTATCCCCAGTACACAGTGGGCACTCAGTGTTTGCTACTGTGAGGGAAGGAGACAGAGAAAGAGAGATGGTGACACTCCCAGAGGGAGGAGTGGAGGGCAAAGCACAGAGATAGAGCCCACGGGGGTCCCCTGCAGACGGATGGAACCTCGCCATGGAACAGGCATCAGGACTGGCCCAGCACCACCAGGTACCCAGTCCATGCTGGCTGACTGATCAGAAGGGGAGCTCGCGGGGAGGCAGAAGACATAAGAAAAAGAAGAAAGTTGCTCAGACAGGATGGGATGCAGTATTTGGGGAAAACACAGGCCGGATCCTCCCCCCTCCATTGCACTGTCCACTCAATGGCATGCCCCTGGGCCACCCTGTGCCCAGGCACAGTCCAGCTTACCCACCCCGCTCGCCCACACTCAAACCTCTGTAGCCCTGGGGCAACCCCCCCCCCCAACCCCAGGCTCCCATAAGCCTCTGGCCGGAGCTGTACCCTGGCCACACTGAAGCAGAAAGCCAGGCCTGGCAGCAGCCTGAACCAGCCATGCCTTCAGGGTCCCCTGGGGCAACTTGGACGCATCTCCCAAGTTCAATTCTCCTGGACATTCGAGATACTAGAGTCAAGGCCGGGCCCAGTGACACTTTCTCACCTTCAGCTAGGTAATAAAATATTTTCAACTTCGTAGTAAAGAGTAATTTTCACACAGAAGAGTACACATAAAACAAGTATACAGTGGCACCTGGGTGGCTCAGTGGGTTAAGGCCTCTGCCTTCGGCTCAGGTCTTAGTCCCGGGGTCCTGGGATGGAGCCCCCCATTGGGCTCTCTGCTCAGCAGGGAGCCTGCTTCCTCCTCTCTCTCGGCCTGCCTCTCTGCCTACTTGTGATCTCTGTCTGTCAAATGGATAAATAAAATCTTAAAAAAAAAAACACACCACAAAAAACAAGTATAAGATCCAGTGCATCTCACAAATAGAACACACTTTGGAAACCACCCCCAAAGGCCCCCCTGCTCCTTCCAGTCTCAAGGCTTCCCTCCAGATCCCACAAGGATGACTGTCATCTGGGCTTCCGTGGGCTTCCTATGAATGGAATCGTCGCACACGTACTCTTCTCTGTGGCTGTGTAGCTGTAAACTATGCCTTTTCACTAGTGTTTTGTATCACATTACATGGACTTACTGCAACTGATTTATTCATTTGACTCTAGATGGGCATCTGGGCAGTTTTCCAGTTTTTGCCTGTTGCGAAAGTGTGGCCAAGAACATTCCAGTACCTGTCGTGTGGACACAAGTATTCCTTCCTGTGGGTAAACACTTAGGATTGGAATTGGTGGGTCATAAGATAGGCCCATGTTCAGTTCCAGGCTTTTCAAGGCCCTCAGGTGATCTGAAACATGCAACCAGTGTATAGAAACCACTGATGAATCTTGCCCCCACGTCTCTCCTTTCTTTACAGCTCAGAAGGAGAAGGATGCGTCCTGGAATTCAGAGTGAGTCCCCCTGCCTGGGCTCTGGATCTGGGGCCCTGCCCCTCTGGACTTCCAGGAACGTCCTCAGCAAGACAGGAATCACATGTCCACAGAGATTTCCTTCCTCCGTTAAGGTCACACAACACATTTACAAGGTCAAGCCAAAGAAGCAGGAGCACCTTTCCGTGCGGCACAGCCTGGCTCTGGGTCCTTCCCGAGAGCCTGCCTACATCTTTCCAGGGTCACAGGCCTGACACACAGCCCAGACACTGGTTGACAATTCTGCCAAAGGGAAACTGGAATAAGGCGGATAGAGTCGGGCTTATCATCAGTACTCTAAAACCTGGAGAGAAAAAGCGATCTTCTTTTGCAAAAACAATCCTAATATTTCCTACACAGAATCTGCACCTCATTTTATTTTCTAAGCTGATACTCCCTATCTAGGACAGCTGCTTTGCTGTTTCTGCTGACCAGAAAAGGGGAGAGACGCCCACGGCTGAACCCCATCCTGAGTGTGAAGGGGTGGGGCTTGGGGCACTGAGGGCGGGTGCACATGCTCGGTCCCCATCCAGCTGTCCAGCTCGGCAGCCCTGGCAAAGCACTCAGGAGGGGCAGGCATTCGACACAGGTATGAACCCTACTTCCCAGGAGCAGGTCTGAGAACACCTCGGCCAGGGATGTACTTAGTTCCCTCTGACGACCTGGGGCAGCTTTGAGATGAATGGGAAGGTGGAAGGCCAGGTGCCCTACTTCCCAAGTCATCACAGTCTGGACCAAATGACCGTGGCTGCCACCAGAAGCACAGGTATTCCAGACCCACAGAAAGCCATCTGCGAGCTGACTAGCAGCTTCTTTGGAGGAAGAGATGACCTTGGCCCAACCGACTCCATTTCTAATGAATCCTCACCGGGGCCTAAGAGACGGGTGGTGCACAGCTGCAGCACTGACAGCCAGACTAGAATCCCCCACCAGCTTTGGCCAAAGCCCACAAAGCAGAGGAACACCTGTGATGTCATTGCGGCCACTCACGTGGGGCAGGTGCTTCTGTAGACATGTCACAGGTGGGGAACAGAGGCTCGGCGGGCTCCAGTGAAGTCCCCATACACAGTTGTTGGCAGGGCCGGAACGCTCGGAGGCCTGACACCCAGGCCTGGGTTCCACCACACCCCCAGCGAGCCTTCAGGGTCAGGAGGGGGAAGGACTCAGGTTCAAACCAGGTCAAGCCCTGGGAGTGGAGGGAGCCCCTGGGGAGAAGGGTGGGGAACAGGTGTGGCTCACGACCTCCAGCCCGGAGGCCAGCTCCAGCGTCCATCTGTCTGTCTGGTTATACAGATGAGGAGGCAGCCCAGACAGGTAAGGCATGAGCTCCCGACCACTCAACTGGGGAGGAGTGGAGCTGAATTCAAACTCCAGTCCAGCCTAAATCCCGCACTCTGTCTCCTCCAGCATGCTGCGCAGAGGGCTGGGGCCGGGTGTTCTGCCCTCTCCTGTAGCGCTCCCAGTAGACAGGGATTAGGGGACACCAAAGGAGGTCTCTTGGGCTGAGATGGCTATGCAGGGGCCTGTCTGGGATGTGGGGTTCCCTAGATCAGACCCCTTCCCACCCCCTTATCCCTCAGCAAGACTTTATCTTCTTTGCTCAAAGAAGCAAACAAACTGGGAGAGCTAGTTGTTTGGGAGGAGATGTGAGCCGGCTTAGCCCTCTGGGGGTGGCTGCATCTAGCCTGAACAAGGACCCCTTTGAGCTCTGCTGCCAACGAGAACTCCTACCTACAGGGACGTCAGAGACTCCAGGGCCTTCTATCCAGTGGGAGGTGGGCGGGCCAAGGGCAAGGCTGGCTCCATCTCCCACTCTTGGCAGCCAAGAGGCTGCCCACTGCCCAGGTCTCTCTGTGGAGCCCAGAACTGGTCAGCCAAGCCCTTAGCTGCTTGGTTGAATGGCTTCACTCTGGTTAAAGGACCCCAGTTGCCCTTTTCCCTGCTTTTGGACCCACCTACCCTACCCCTGCCATCCAGATCTAGGCTCTCGGGACACACTAGAAAGGCCCAGGTCCTCACAGGGATGGAATTCAGGATCAACGTGCTCAGGCTGACTCCTCTCAGACATTCAGGTGTTTGCGAGGCTTGCTAATGGGCTGCCCTCCCAGCTCTGCTTGGGTCCTGCTTAGCTACCGTGCTCCTGCCCAAGATGGAGACCCTCCCACTCTTATCCCCCAACACCTCCGCTCCCCGAAGCCTGGTAAGCCGGAGGCTCCGGGGAGAGCTGACCCCTCTCACCTTGCCTCCACACACGGTCTGCTCAGATATCTTCATTGCTGTACCTCTCATTTAAGTGGCTGTCCCCCACTAAGACCTGCTTCCTTATTCATCTCTTACTCCCGGCCCCCACACTCAGCTTCAGGCATCCAGTAAGTGCTCAATAACTGCGTACTGAAGAAACAAACACTGCCCACAGAGAAGCTTCTCTGTGTAGTGTGTTCGGCTGCACTGGGACTTCGGGACACAAACACCAGACCTGGAGTGAGATCAGTCACTCCGGTTTGCTTCTCGCTGCCCTCATCTCCTCCTCCTCCTCCTCACCTCCTCCTGGATGGCCCCCAGTCACCTTCCTCTGGGTCTGCTCCCCTGTAAAATGGGGGGAAATCCCCTCTCTGACCTGCAGATCTTCAGGGCTGCTGTGGGGGTCCGAGAGGTCATGGCCTAGCCCCAGGGAGGGGGCCCGTTCTCACAGCCTTGCCCACTGAGCCTCACCCCTGCTCCCACCCTCCCCTTGACACTGAGACCTCCGCATCCCATCATGCCCCTGGAGGGATGCCTAGAAGTGCAGCCGCCCATGGGAAGCGGAGACGGGCACCTCCAGGCCCCAAACTACACCCGCAGAGCTCCACACAGGTCCTGTGTGACTGACTCTTTCTCCTGGGACTGCAGCCAGGGAGCCTCTGCGGGGAGAGCCCTCTTTGCACCTGGGCCCCACCCAGTGCCTGCCTCCCGCAGCTCAGGCCCAGCTGCCCCACAGTACCCTTCCACCAGAGGTCTGAGGCCAGCAGGGGCTGCCCCCTTGCTGGCCAGAGCTCAAAGGCCTGCGGAGCAAGAACAGTCACCAGGGAGACAGACGGGACAGACAGCCGAAACAGGGAAACTGTTGGGCATGTTCAGGATTTCTCATGAAGCCCAGGCCACCCCGAGGAGCAGGCGGTTGGTCCTACAGAGAGTGACCTGCCTGTCGCCGGCCTCATCCCACATTCCCCCTGCTGTAGCAGCATCTGTCTGAGCTAGCACCCCTGGACCTGGTCACAGACCACTTTTTCTTGGCCAGCCACTTCAGGCCTGGCTGTCTCCAGACAAGAAGCTGGTCATTCAGGTCGAAAAACAGACTTGCATTCATTAAAAAACAGAGCACTCCTGTGCTCCTGGGGGCTGCCCTCTGCTGAGCGTGCTGAGGGAGGGCCCACAGGCCAACCCCGGTGCTCACATGCCTCCCCATCCCCAGTCAAGGCTGCCAGGAAGTGTGGCTACTCTCGGGACAAGACTGCTCTGTCCATCCGTGGACACCATCCAATGCACCCTGATTCCAACTAGCCCCTGACACCCACCTCAGAATCACGCCAGTTTTGTGGACCCTCCAGGATCTTCTCAGGGCACAGGGCAGGTTGGAAGGTGTCTTGGGTTCCTGAAAGAGCCTGGATGTGGTGGCTGGGAGACACAGAGGCAGGCCTGGAAGTACCTCTCACTGCAGAGGGGCTTGGAGAAGCCACTTCTCTCTGGGCCTCACTTACTCTCTGCAAAGGGGTGAGAAAGCCTCAGCCCAGGAAGGAAAGCAAGGGCTGTGCGAGGGAAAAACAAAGCAGAGCTAGGAACTGGGTGAACTACAAATGGCCACTGACCCTCCTGTGGTCAGGAGAATCCCTATCCCAGGAGAGGCTGGCAGGACCACAGACCTCAAAGGGCTGCCAGCCTCTCTGCCTCCCTCCTACAAACACCAATTGAATGTCTGCTGTTTGCTCAGCTCTGTGTAAGTGCTGTGTACACTAAGAAGGATAAGGCGAACTACTATCCCCAAAACACCTGGTGGGAGAGGCAGACATGAAACAAATATTTATATAAATCAATACATAATTATAACCGTGTCAGCTATGCTATGAAAGAAGAGCCCAGCGTCCTAGTTGGACCTCTGTCAGGGAGTCCTGACTCAGCTGTGGAAAGCAGGGAGGCTTTCCCTAAGAAGCAGTGGCATTTTGAGCTGATAGCCAGTGGATGTTAATCAGATGGGGGAGGGTATTTGTAGAGAGTTAGAGAGGGGTTCTTGTAGAGGGTTTATGATGGATGTGCAAAGGCCCTGAGGCCGGAGTATGTGGCATGTATGAGGAACATAAACAGAGCCTTTGTCTGGAGGGTGGAAGTAGTGAAGTGGGGAGCAATGAGGCTGGAGGGGTTGGTAGGGCTAGATCATGCAGGGCTTTGTACACTCCAGTAAGGGTTTCTGTCATTTTCTTAGAAGTGATGGGGAATCTATAAAGGGATTTAAACGGGGAAATCCACTACTAAATTTGTATCTTAAAGAGATCACTCTGACACATTGATTTGCTTGAAAGTCATCCAAAGGAGGTGGGGAAGGGGGAGCAGAGATAAGTATCAATGAAATAGGGACAATCTTCTGTTGATGGTTATTATAGATGGGTGATGGATGCCTGGATATCCACCTACAACTCTCTCCTTTTTTGTATATGTTTAAAATTTTTCATGGAGAGAGATCAGTTAGGAGACTATATTCCAATGGAGAGATGATGTCTCACACTTGGTGGCAGTGGTGATGGAGGGCCAGTGATGGGTTTAGGATATATATTTCCAAATAAAATCAACATGACTTGTTAATCCGTTGGATGTGGAGTATCGGGGGAAAATATCAAATATGACTAGATTTCTGGCTTAAGCAAGTAGGATACTGCTCTGTTTCACTGAGATGAAACAGGGAAAAATATATTGGAAAAAGAGCATATTTGAAGGAAAAATCACGAGTTCAGTCTTGAAGTTGTGTGGGAAATTATTAAGTGGAGATGTCAAGCTATATAGGAGTAAGGAGCTCAGAAGAAAGGTCCAGGCCAAAGGGATAAATTTCTGAGTTACTGGCCCATGAATGAGTACAGGAGCTAGGAAAGTGGATACATAAAGAAGAGAAGCTATCAACAAAGGTGCCAAAACCAATTCAATGGGAGAAAGATTAGTCTTTTCAATAAATGGTGTTGGGACTAGATATTCACATGCAAAAGCTTTAAGCTGGAGCCCCATCTCACACCATATATAAAAAAAAGCTCAGGGCATCTGGGTGGCTCAGACAGTTGGGTGTCTGTCTTCGGCTCAGGTCATGACCCCAGGGTCCTGGGATTGAGCCCCGCATCGGGCTCCCAGATCAGCGGAAAGCCTGCTTCTACCTCTCCTGTTCCCCTGCTTGTGTTCCCACCACAAAAACGTCAGAAAAATTTTAGGAGAAAACAGGTGGGGGTGCCTGGGTGGCTCAGTGAGTTAAGCCTCTGCCTTTGGCTCAGATCGTGATCTCAGGGTCCTGGGATCAAGATCCCCACATCGGGCTCTCTGTTCAGCAGGGAGCCAGCTTCCCCCTCTCTCTCTCTGCCTGATTCTGCCTACTTGTGATCTCTGTCTGTCAAATAAATAAATAAAATCTTAGGAAAAAAAAGAAAACAGGTGTAAATCTTTGTGACCTTTGATTAGGCAACAGTCTCTTAAGATATGATACCGAAAGCACAGGAAACAAAAGAAAAGATAAACCGTGCCTTATCAAAATTGGAAAGGTTTGTGCTGATGATATCACCAAGAAAGTGAAGACAAACCGCAGAATGGGAGAAAATATTTGCAAATCATATATCTGATATGAGACTAATATCCAAAATATATAAAGAACTCCTACAACCTTGAAAATATTATACCAAGTGAAATAAGCCAGTCCCAAAAGATAAATACTGTATCATTCCACTTATACGAAATATCTAGGGTATCAAATTCAAAGAAACAGAAAGTGGAAAGGTGGTTGCCAGGGGCTGGAGGGAGGAGAAGATGGAGAGATGTTTAATGGGTACTTCAGTTTTGCAAGATGACAAAGTTCTGGAGATGGTTTGCACAACAACATGCATATGTTTAACACTACCAAAGCATGCAAATGCACTTAGAAATAGTTAAGATGATAAACTTTATGTTATGTGTTTTTCTTGACCACAATTAAAATAAGTTTTTTTTAAAGAACTCTTTTTTTTTTTTTTTTTTTTTAAGATTTATTTAGGGGCACCTGGATGGCACAATTGGTGGAGCATCTGCCTTTGGCTCAGGTCATAATCCCTGGGTCCTGGATCAAGTCCCCCATTGGGCTCCTTTCTCAGGAGGGAACCTGCTTCTCCTTCTGCCTGCTGCTCCCCCTGCTTGTGCTCTCTTTCTCTCTGACAAATAAATAAATAAAATCTTACAAAAAATATTTTTAAAAATAAAAAATAAAAATAAAAAAGATGTATTTATTTATTGAAGAGAGAGAAAGAGAGCATACTTGCAGGAGGTGGGGAGAGGGGCATAGGGAGAGGGAGAGAGAAATCCAAGCAGGCTTCCCGCTGAGAGCAAAATCCCACCCAGGGCTCCAACTCACAACTCAATCTCATGACCCTAAGATCAGCACTGGAGCCAAAAGCAAGAGTGTCCACCCAGGCACCCATAAGAAGAAATGAAATCTTACAAATGAATGATAAAGACAAGTAATCCTACTAAAAATGGGTACATGTTTGAATAAACATTCTTCCAAAGGCAATGTCAAATGAACAATTAGTACATGAAAAGATGCTCAACATCATTAGCCATCGAGGAAATGCAAATCAAAACCACAATTAGATATCATTTCACACCCACTGGGGGACCATGATCAGTATTAGGTGTTGGTGAGGATGCAGAGAAATTGAATGCTTGCACATTGCTGGTGGAATGTGAAATGGTATGACTGCTTTGTAAAAGTCTGCTGGTCCGTCAGATGGTTCCTTCAGGAACCAACAACTGCTCTCCTCAGTATGCACCCCAAGAGAACGGAACACATGTCCACACAAAGTCTTTTTCAAGAATGCTCACAGCATTATGATAATGAGCCCCCAAAATGGAAACATCAACAGCCCCCAAAATACCCATCAACTGATGAACAGAGAAACTATGGTACATCCACACCGTGGAATATTACTGAGCCCTGAAAAGGAGTGAAGCGTTCATACAAGCTACAATATGAAAGAACATTATGCTAAGTGAAGGAAGCCAGTTACAAAAGACCACAAACCTATGATTCCCTGTACAGGAAATGTCGAGAACTGGCAAATCCTCTGAGACAGAAAGCAGATTAGTGGTTGCCAAGGTGCTGGGGTGAGGGGAAATGGGAAGTGACTAATGTGGGTAGAGTTTCTTTTTGGGGTGATGAAACTGTTCTGGAATTAAACTGTTCTGGAATTGGTGTGCAACTTGGTGAATACATTAAAGCCACCGAACTGTACACTGTAAAAGGGTGAATCTTGTGGTATGTGGATTATATCTCAAGGAGGTGTTGAAGGAGGAGAGAAATCTGGGACCCAAAGAAGCACAACACTGAAAGACTGTGTCGGGGAGAGAGAGTCCCCCTAGGAGACTAGGAGGGAGAGAGCCAAGAGGTAGAAAGAACACTTAGGGGTAGGGGTTGTCATGGAAGCCGAGGGAGCGTGTCAAAAGGAGGAATGGGAATCCGTGGTTTGCTGCGAGGCAGGTAGGAGGAAGACTGGAGGCAGTCGCTTCAGCAGCAAGGACAGAATGGGTGCCTTCAGTGGGGTAGTGGGGTGGTGGGGTGGTGGGGTGGTGGGGTGGTGGGGTATGAATCCAGACTCAGGTGCTAAAGACCTGCGGGAGCAGGCCGGTGACCGCACCCCAGGGACGGCCGTGAGGACAGGTCTCTGAGTACAAGCCAGGATGTCGTTGAGCGCAAGTCTTGGGCCGGCTCACACCAACCTAGGATCCTACTGCCTTCCTCTCAGTGAAAGTCGGCGGAGATGCCGAGATGCCGGAGGACGGGAGAAGGTTCCTTGCGGGGAGGGAGCTGCCATCGCCCGCAGCCTCACTGCCGGGGGCCAAACCCCCACCCTCACAGCGTCCTCACCTGCCGCTCCTCCACCCCTGGCGCGCGAGCTGCAGCGGGAGAGGCACCGTCCATTTTCGGCGCCTGCCGGGGCAGGGACTGAGAAGCCCGGGGTCACCCGGCGCCAGAGGGCGGCCACACCCAGAATTCCAGCCCCACAAGGAGCGCCAGCTCCCCGAGGCGGCGGCCTGGCGCCAGGGATCCCGCCCACCCGCGCAGCCCAACCTCCCAGTGGGCCGATGGGCCCTGAAGCCTGGACAGAGGGGACGCAGACGGGGCGGGAGATGCTGCCGCGAGTGCAGCAACCCCGCTGCACCTCCCGGCCCCTCCGAAAAAGGATCCAAGCGCCCCCTCATCTGAGGTCCCATTTGGGATCGGTGTCCAGCACCCAACCTGGTAGCTGGCCGGTATTTGAGACGGCCCAAAGCAGGGTCTGGCTCGTGCCCTGCCGCAGGCTCTGGACAACGGGGCTCTCCCAGACTGTGCTGCAGTGAAGGGTTCAGATTCCTGAGCCATGACCTAGTCTTATGCGGCTTGCTGGGTTCTGGGACCTCTTCCTCCAGGGAGAACTCCAGATTGTCTGACACCCCTAGGAATGCCTGTTCTCACCCCCATTATTCAATAATATTCTGGACGTTCTAGCCATTGCACAAAAGCAAGAAAAAGAAAGAAAAGGTTTAGACACTAAAAAGAGAGAAATTTTCTTATTTACTTATTTTTCAAGTAAGTTCTACATCCAAAGTGGGGCTTGAACTCAGGACCCAGAGAAGAAGAGTGGCATGCTCCACAGACTCAACAGCTAGGCGCTACCCCCAGAAGAGAGAATTTTTATTTGAAAGATGATAAACTATCTAGAGGATACATAATCAACTAAAAAAAAAAAAACCCCAAAAACAAAAACAAAAGAAAATGGCCCAGACATTCTTATATTTAGGCAGTAGACTAGGCAGAGCTTTGGTGGGGTAGTCTATTATTCTAGGGGTTATAAGGTCAGCACAAAAGTCATAAAAGTAGTTTCTCCGTAGACCCACAGTAAAAAAAACAAAGTTTTATATATATATATATTATATTTCATATATATGTATATATATGTGAAATATATAATATATATATAACTTTATATATATATATATATATATGAAATATTTGGTAAAATGATTCTATTCACATGGAAACAACACATATAAAATACCTAAGAATAAACTTTTAAAATGTTGAAAGTCCATGAGAAGAAAACCACAAACCACAAACCTTTTTAAAAAGACATAAAAGAAGACTTGAATAAATGTTCTTGAGTGGGAAGATTCAAAGTTTTAAAGGAGAGAATTTATCTCAAATTTAATGCAAGGGCTTGC